GGAGAACTCTCATTGTGTGTGTGTGTGTGTGTGTGTGTGTGCGCGCGTGTGTGTGTGTGCGCGCGTGTGTGTGTATGCTTGTGTGTGCGTGCGTGTGTTTTTGCGTGTGTATGTATGGCACATCTCCCTGCCTGGCCAAGCCCTTCTTCTTCTCCTCTGGCTAACAACCTCCCAGGAGGAGCCTCCACACTCCCTCTGTCCTCCTGTGCTCCTCCTCCTCCTCCTCTCTGCAGTCTGCACTCCTCCTCAGAGGAGAGAGCCTTCTCAGTCTTTCACTCCAGGCAGGAGGGATATCAATCACCGAGGTGGATCCAGTTCTCCCTGCACTGCGCTGTCTTCTCCTCTCCTCTCTTCTCCCTGTGGCAACTCACACCCAGCCTTACAGACATATCCTGCTCCTCCCCTCTCTCTCTTCCTTCCCTCTCGCATCCTTTCTTCGCTCTCACACTCCTCCCTCTGCCTCCTGCGTCTGGCCCAGAGACTGTGCTGTTAAGGAGGGACTGAATCAAGCAGTGCCTCCCTGTCTCTAACACACACACACACACACACACACACACATGCACGCACGCTCATCAGGATTAGATCATCTTTCGTTTTATCTGACTGAATCCGCACCTGTAGCGAGGAGATCCCACGGGAGGAGCTAGACTCTAACAGGCCTACCAGGGATGGCCCGTTATTGGGATCAGTGCTTCTGATTGGTTGGTTGGATGGTTCAGGCGTTATCTCCCCATTCTTTGTGAGTGTCTGCTGGATCGCTATGCAGAAACAGACTCTCTGGGAGCTACTCACACTCCAACTACACAACATACTGTGCACACAGCAATCAGCCTTCATATACTCACCACACACACAGTCATCGCTCACCCTCTCGAACATGCATCAACACAGTGATTTGCCAAATGTCTCTCCTCGCAGACAGACTCACACAGAGGCCAGAGGACCAGACATACCGAGGAATGGACCCTGAGAGAGAAGTGTTGCAAGTCAAACAGATTCTGTGATCGAACTGTTCATTCTCTATAGCTTTTGTACAATACCGATTTAAAAAAAAAAAAGAACAAATTGAAAAATTGAATTTTTATTTTATAAGTCAATCAAGCCGTTGGGTTCAGCTCTATAGGAGTTAACATGGCTTTAAGGCATCTGATCGTTGGTTTGCCAAACTCATTTTGTAAATAATGATAACAACAACCATTTTGTCCGCCGGACTTCTGTGCCATAAAATAGGAAGGCTTCAGTTATGCAAACTCTTGACGTTAACCCAAGCAATACCAACATATGTTTCTTTTTCCTGTTTTCCCACCATGTTTTGTTGCCTTCTGATATTGTTTTGTTCTTGTGCATGGATGTTGTAGGTCTTTGTCTTAACCTCACTTACTAATCCTGGGTCCAGCCGCACACCTTGCCCCTATCTGTCTTTCCAAATCCCGCCACCTCACATTATTATGTCCCAAACAAATTAGCTTCTGCAGTTTGTGTTACCCAAAGCCTATGTACACACCACAGCCCTGTGTTTCTGTACCCCAAACCTATACTCCAACTCTATGTTGCAGGCAGCAGACACAGTCTTCATCACTGTATCCCAGACTGCTCATCTCCTCCATCCCATTCCCCCAGAACAGTCTTTAAGATACAGTGATGCTCTGCCCATCTGTCTGTCTGTTGGTCAGGTGCCAAACTGCTGCTGTCCGAGCGCCTGTGTGTGGACTGCAGCATCCTCTGCTACAAGTACATCAACTGTGATGCCAATGACTCCCTATTTTATGGCCAGAGTCCCCATGTCACTCGAGAACTCTTTTGGACTATGATGTTGATTAACTTAAAAATTTGACAACTAGAAGATGAGCAAAGAAGTTGAACAAAAAGGGAAACGTTGCTGTTTGAGTACATAACATTTCTAGACCTATTTTAACTTTACCTCAGCTAACAGTTTCTTAATGTAAATTGACACATTATTTTTATCTTTATGAATATGACATTCTACAGTGGGTTTTTAGATGATTTTTTGGTTCTCTCTTGATTTACGTATTCCACCATGTATTACTGTTACAAATAAACACATCCCAAATGACTGATATGTCTATTTTCTGTCTTGGTTTTAATCTGTGTGTGTGCGTTTGAGTGTGAAAGAGAGTGAGCCTAATGGTGTGTGCCTGGCAGAGGTGACCCCCAGTGAGTCTTTACTTAGTGTAAAGCAAGTGCCAGAGTATTTTGTTGTAATTTAACACGGCTTTAATGGTCTGTCACATTCTGCTACACTGGCAGCCTCTAATGCAAGCTGTCATAAGCTTTATTAGCAACTGACTACAAAACAAGGACTTCAACCTTACTACTTTGCTGCTCCCCTCCTCCCTGTGGAAAAGGGAAACACAACAACTTTCATATTATATAGGATTAGGGTTGCAGTGGTATACTGATACCATGGTAGTAAAATTGATGGCTGTCATGCTGTGTACATTTGCTTATCTAATTATCTACTGTATTTACTCTACTGTTATTAAAAATATATAGTACATTATATTTTGTGAAATTATAATAAAGCATTTGTTCATCTGTTTTCATTCATTTAAAGTTCCAGTGTGTAACATTTAGGAGGATCTATTGGTAAAAATTAAATATAATATTCATAGATGTGTTTTTATTAGTGTATTAGTGTTGAAAACAAGAATCGTGTTTTCATTAACCTTAGAATGAGGCATTTTTATCTGCAGGAGTGGGTCCTCTTCTACGGAGTCAGCCATGTTGAACTGCCATGTTTTTTTTTCTGTATTCAAATGGTTGCAATCGGCAACTTTACCACTAGATTACACTAAATGTACACAATGGTCTTTTAAGGGTCATAATAATATAATAATAAAAATAACTGTAATACAGCTATACCGCAGTATTTTCTGAGATGGTTAAAATCTCATATACATGCAATCCTACAGGACAAACTGAAACACTCTGAAACTTATTGTTAAAGGGTTTACCAAAATTTCACACACAAACATGTTCTCACTCACCTACAGTTTGACCGTGTTGTAAGTTTCAATTTTACATGGTTTTGAGATACTCATCTGTACGGTTTTTGCCACCACCCACATATTGTTGAGGTGAATGGCATTTTGTTCTTGCTGCTCGTAGCATTAAAAAATTACATTTGACAGCAGTGTGTCTTTTCAAAAACACTGTCCCAGTTACTGGGTAATCTACAATCCTCACTGTCAGCAGTTTGCTTTGGTATTATTTCTTCTGTGAAAACTATCTGAAAGTTGTCAACAGTAAAGTCTGGATATGCATTATTGTTTTGGAGTTCACCTTCATATAGTGCCAGAAATTTTCAGCAAATTAAAAAAACAATACCTAGATACAACCAATGGTCCGCAGAAAAGTGTGTTTTTGTAAGGTGTACTGACCTTTTAAGTGTAAATTTCATGTTTAATGTTTTGTTAATGAACCAAATAATCCTCCCATAGAGGTATAGTATGTCAGAACTGGCATGTGGCCTGTAAGTCATACAATGACGAGCAACGATTTCTGTGTGTGTGATCTGAGCTGAGGCCCTGACACACCTGTCAGTACAAGCTCAGTGTAGCAAAACTCGCTACTATCGAGGGTTCTCCCAGCACACAGACCAACCACAGGGATAAATGAACAAGACCACTTTATTCTTTTGTCAGGTCTGCTCCGGTTGTGTCTCCTCTGTCACGTGTGTCAGCCTCCAGGTTCAGCACACTACTGCCTTAAAGAGATGAGTGTGATTACTCAATGAGTACCAGCTGAGATCATCCACTCACCTGAGGATGCTCCCACAAGCCTTCCACACCTCTCTCTCTCTCTGCAGTGTAAACCACAGCCACCTCCACACTGTGGTTGGCAATTAGACAGAATATCCTTTAATGCTGGTTTATGAAGGCTGTGTGTCTGTTGGATGTGCTGTGTATATGCCATATAACAAATGACTGCTCAAATACTTTGGTATTCTGTGTAACAAAACTGGAATGTTGACCGACCTCTTGTGTTTCATTTCCCTCTATGTTTACCTTCAACATTAAACTTAAGCCCCAGACAACAGACCACGGGTCTAATGATATATTACCTAGATACAGCATCTCCTCACGACAACACAAACATACACTGCTTCACAGCAGGCACATGACTTGGTGTGTGCAGAAATTTAACAGTTTTAAGAAAAACAACTCCAGTTAGGTTTCATGTCAGTGACTCACATTTGCACAGTGCCAGCCAGGCGACATTCCTGAGGGATAAAAAAAAAAATCCAAGAGCTGTTGAGAGTCAGTGTGCTGTGTTAAATGCTCAACCGGGTACAGACCCGTTTGACGAGCCGGGCGTTTTTTTAAAGATGAGTGTGAGTATTCCTACTCGACCTCATTCCTACACTGAAACTGTCTCCTGTGCGCCTGGGACGCACACTCGGTCAGAGCGCAGGACAACACACACACACAAGCACACAGCTGGCACAGGTCGATAAAAGTGGGACTATTTCTTAACGGTGTGTTTTCATCGGCCACATAATGAGAGGCTGAAGAAGAAACTCTCTGGAATTAATTTACTTATCCCAGAAGGCTTTTGTCGTTCCGCTGGATCATTAAAGACACAATGGATCAGGTATGTTGTTCTCTGATATCTTGAAATCCTCCCATAAAGTGTTTCTAACGATCATTTATTATATAATAACGATAATATTGATTATTGTGACATTTATATCGTGTCAACCGGTGTAAGTCTGCTTCCTGTCATATATGAATCTTCAGTGAGCTGTGAGTCAGTGTCTGTACAGTGAATAGAATAATAGTCCAGTAACTACATTAATCATACAAATTTGAGCCTCCTGTGTCGTGTGTGTGTTTAAGCCTCAAGATTTAGGCGTATCACTATAAATCAGGTCTGCCTACTTTCTCTGTTCAACTCTACAGGGAGACTCATAGATACATAGATGGCATAAAAACCAACCACCATTGTGTAGTGAAAGGAGGTTCATTAGCATGGTTTCATTCTTCAATTTAAATAACAAGTGTCAGACGTTTTTGTGATCTCAGACCACTTATCTAAGAGTGAACATATAATCTATGTATTTGCCTCTAACCAGGAGAACACAATGGACTTTAAAGCCCTGAGGGCCAAGTTCCAGGATCAAGAAATACTCCTGCAACAGCAACCCAGGATCAAACCTGCTCTCCCAGAGAAACCAAAGGTTGTCCCTCCTCCCCAGAGCCCCCCTCACTACCTCCCTGCAGGAGCACGCCCTTCTCTGCTCACCTCCATCAACGAGGGCCTGGAAGGGAAAACACTGATTGCCCCCAGAGTGGTCTTCAAGGATGAGACAAAGGAAAGCAAAATGCCTCTCATCCCAGCTAACTCTCAGGGAAAAAACAAGAGTGAGGGGAAGTTGAAAAAGGGTAAAGACAAGACAACAAAGGGAAGCAAAGAGAAGCTTGATGAGGATCCATCTGATCAAAAGCAGAAGAAAGAGAACAGTAAGGACAAAAGGTTCTCATTGCTCCATGTAGCACCTAAGGAGAGCACTTCAGAGCTGGTGCCAGCCACACCTCCACCTAAAGCAACAGCACCAAAGAAGAAGGGCTTCCTGGTTTTCAAGAAGTCATCAAAAAGAAATTCAGTCGAGGTCCCGGAAAATCCTATCCTAGATGCCCCTAGCTCAGACATTCCTGTTCAAGCTCCGCTTATCCCAGTACCTGCTGAATTCAGTGAAGTACCACCAGAGCCTGAAATCTCTGCACCAAAGGCCCTCCTACCAAACATCCCCACCTTACTTGACTCCAGTGCTGCAGTGGAAATTACCCTGCCCTCCACTGTTCCTGCCTTTGTTCCTGATATCCCGGCTCCTGAAGTCCCAACCCCAGAGAGTGAAACCCCAATTGAGATAGAAACTCCTGCCCTGCCCATTTCCAGGCCTGCCAGCCAAAATGAAATTATTCCAAGTCCCCCTGACGCTGTCCCAACCCCTCCACCCAGTCGTGCCGTCTCTGGTCCTCCCCCAGTGGCCTCCACTCCCTCTCCATCACCTCCTGAGCCTGAGATTGCAGCAGAGGTTGGTGTAGAGGCTGTAAACATAGTTGCAGTGGAGCAGCCCCTAGACCCTCCATCCATTCCGCCGTCTCCTAAAGACGAGCGTCCGATCTCAGCCCTTTCAGTCCTGGAGAGGGCGGAGGACATATACCCAGCGAAAAGAGCTTCTCAGTGTGACCAGAGGATCTTCAATGCTCTGGAGAAGGCCCGCAGGAAGACCAGGTAAACAGTCAGAAGAAAGTTCTATACCAAAAGCTGTGAAGAGTGGCCGTGGCAGAATTTTCAGGTGATTTATACTATTTAGTAACTTTTATCATTTAATTATCTGTTTTCAGCCCGCTGACATACCCCACCTCCATCACCCCACCTCCAGAAGATCTCCCCCCTCCTCAGAGTCCCACCTGCTCTCTCCCAGAGCTCCCACCCATTGATTATGAGGATCGGGCAGGGAACGCCCTCCCGAAACCGGCACAACTTAACGGCTTTGACCACCGTAAGTCTGGACTAGTCAGTTCTTCTCTTGTCCTCTCTGCTTCAAGCTTTCTTGTGGACATGTGGTATTTTTGATTTTCTTCTTTTACTGTTTACCTCAACATGCTGTACACAACAGCATATTTCATCATCAGGGCATCAGGTACGTACTGTGCACCTGCAGAACATGTTGTTATGCGGTTTCAGCTATACAGAGAATGTGGTATGTATAGTATGGTTTACACCACAGGGTTCCCTCAGGTGTTGGTTAGGAGAAGTTGCTTTAAGAATAGTGCTGGTATTCCACTTTTGTGCCAAAAACAACTGAGCAGCAGGCAGGGCAGAGCTGCAGAGGTATGTCAGCAATGACAGAGAGGAGGAGCAATGACAGGAGTGTGTCCATCAGTATGTCAGAGAGCTACAGTGACAAACACTTTAATGTCTGTTAAACTGACAGTACATAGGATAAGAAGTGAGTCTGGTGCTGTGTTGACAGCGACTTCATTTATGCAGAGCTTATTAATTGTGTATGTAGGTGTTCCTGTGCATGTATTAATTTTAAACAACCTCATGCCATTTACCATTTAATTAAGTTCTCTCAGACTATAGTAAAGTAATATGCTTGTTTATTTGTGATAACTCTCAGTATAGAAGGATTTTTGACACTAAGTCAAATCATTCAAGATGATTCCTTAAAATGATAGTCTTCTGATCTTTAAAACTACTTATTGTACAATACAAAGTGATCAAATTTGAAGGACAGTTCAATGGGAATACAATGTGGACAGGTATATATTGCATTGTAAGAAAGAAAAAAACAATAGTTTAATTATACTGCACTTTTCTAGAACAGAGGGCTTTACAAGTACATTAGATTAAGATAAAACTCAACGTTACAGAACAAATATAAAGAATTCATTAACATACATTTGAATTAAGGTCTGTTGTACGTTTCTTAAGCTCTGCTGTTTTTTCTTCTCTCGTAATTGCATTATCTCCGCTCTGCAGAGTTACATCACAACTACTTTTACAGTGTGTTTGACTAGTTTGGTTTCCTCACAAATCAAACTCTTCTACCCAGCTTGCCTTTGCCTTCTCTCCCTTTCTGTGTTTGGGAGTTTCTTCCAGGTGTTTCAGCTGAAGTGTTTTACTGTTTTTACTGCATTGTGTTCAAATGCAAGTCTCGCTGCTATACTGAAAACATCTCTTCCATTTTAATATGAGACTTTGTGAAAGCAGAAAATATCTGACAAATCAGTCCCAAGATTTTGATACTGATGTATTAACTCCATGTAATTCTGTGCAGGGCAAGTCTCTCCAGTGTTGGAAGGTATCACTGAGGAAGGGTCTGACACTGTCCCAGAGCTGTTGATTGTTCCACCTCCTCCACCCAGGAAGGTCCTCCCAGACCATGAGTCTCTGGGTCCTGCTCCAGAGAAGCCAGACAGACCACCTTCTGTCAACTTGAGTGAATTCATCCCTTCTCCTCCTTCTCTGGAAGATAATGGTGTGGCCATCATTGTTACTTTACAACTTAGTGAAACTAAACTTAAACAGCCCCACTAATGTTGTTTTCATATTGTGTTTCACCTCATCTACAGAGATCCCTGCTCCTCCTGAATTCTCAGAGACTGACACCACGGATCTCCCAGAGTTTGACGATGTGGCTTCAGATGCTCACTCCCCTAGTCTGCAGACGTCAGACTGGGGGAATGGAGAGTACACTGGCCCAGATAGTCCAGATAGACAGAACATGCCAGAGTTTTACAGTAACGGTATAACTACTCCAGGAGCTGAGGTTTATGCAGCACTAGACCAAGATACTCCACAAACCGAATCCTCCTTCCCTACCTCTCAGGAATCTCCCCCACAGGCAGGGTAAGAAACATGAATAACTCCACCCTCTTTGCTTTAGAATATTCGTTCCTCCCTTAGAGGTTCTAATTCCTGTTTTTCCTTCCTTCCCAATCACTTGCTCAGGCTTCAAGCTGGAGTGAACAACGATGTCTATGAGAGCACAGAAAATGTGTATGAGGACATTGCCACATCTGCCACCAAGAAGAAAGGAAAGACTGACGGTGGCAAGAAACGCAAAGGACCACCAAAGAGTAAGAACTCAGTTCCGTTGTTGGTAGTTGATTTTCAATGAGACATTGGAATTTTTGAATCAGTCATATCAGGGCATTTATATAGATAAGATATCTAAATCACTTATAAAGTAAACACTTTATGTTCAGTGTATTTGGCTGAGTGATAGTGCCTGAATGAATTGTGACATTAAACTAAATAGTTGGATTCCCTAAAATATTCCACATATCCTTTAGTTAGTATTTGCATATAACCATGAATTTAAATGGCAGAGGTGCAGACCACAATATTATTCCATTAAATTATAATAAACAAAAGTATTTCTCAATGTGTATCAAACTGGACCCATTCAGAACTATTTAATTCTGCTTGACCATCTCAGGCAGATATATATAGATATTATGCATATTGCATAGATCTCATCATTGGCTCTCATAGCCATAAAAACAGAATGTTATCGTGTGTATGTCTATCTTGAGGATGGTATCAAAACTCAACCCGATAATGTTTTTATATGATGTGAACATCTCATGTACTCTATGTTGACTTAAACAATTTTGACCCTTTTGCACAACTGTGTGTTTTCCACAGATCCATACGCTGAGGCACCACAGGAAACAGTAAGTAGCTTTGTGAGCAATGAGTCACTTTTTAAATGAAAAATGTACTTCTCTTCACAACAAGTGTTGCTTATCAGTCGGAGCTTCTGACAATTTTGTTCAAAATGAATCAATCCTTATCTCTTTGTGTTTACAGAATGAAGAGAAAAGCAAGACGAGCAGGTTTGGCAAGTAAGGCCTTATTTTTTTGACCCAGTTCTCTTTTCATCTCGATTATCCCCCAGACACTGTTAGTGATGAGAGAGTTTGATCTGCCTTTGTTTCCCTCGTAATCTCCTCTGCCATTTAAACATGCAGTGAGGAATCCCTTACAAACAAGACGATATCCCTCATTCTCTCATCTGCAGGAACGACAAGAAAGCCGCTGCAGAAGGACCAGATGAGAAAGAGCTGAAAAAGAAAGAGAAGCAGCGCCTGGAAAAGGAGAAGAAGGAGCTAAAGGAGAAGCAAGAAAGGGAAAAGAAGGAGCAAAAGGAGAGGGAAAAGAAGGAGAACGAGATGAAGAAGAAATTCAAAGTGAGTGATTTTATTTTGACAGAACAGTGAGGTATGGAAGTTGAGCAATCAGTAGGGGAGGGTGTCTTGGCTTACAAACCTGTCTGGATTCATTCCTCCCTGTAGAAGAGTTGAGCTGAGCAACATGCTCAAAAGGAATCTGTGTAAACATTTTTGCATTGTTGGTAATATATCCGAAAGATCTATGGACTATTTTTTTAGTCTGTGATATATTATTACCATATTATAACATAAGAAAATGACTTTCTCCAGGATCCATCGGGTCCTGCTTACATTCAAAAACGTTTATCTAGATCCCAATCTGGGGGTCAGGTCTGTTCTGTACTGTTATTGTTATGCACTGAATATAATTTGAAACATACATAAAATATGTCACTTAGTAAGGGGTCGTCAGTTTACTCAATGGTAGAAAAGCTGTCCCTGAAGGAAAAACTCATCTAGACCCATGGCCAAACAGGAGGAATGGGATACATTGTGGTTATCAAAGAACTGGTAATACACTTTTCTAATCAACATTAATGAAGCCAGATAATAACACACTACCCAGTATATTTAAAAAACTGTATCTATAATCAATATTTTTATATCACATGATTTCTATGTAAAGAAGGTCCCTCTAATCCCTCGTGATCCCACAGAGAATTATCGTCCAACTCTGTAATTTCCTTCAGCTCTACGGAGCATTTAAGGATATTTTAACTTGTTTTGGTTTGGTTTTGGTCTGGCCCAAATGTTTACTGTTCTGGTTAACTCTTACCACTCTCACAGCATCATTTTTGGCTGCTATTTTCAGCAAAAAAAAAACTAAACTAAACTCTAAAACCCGTAGTTTGAGCAAAACTACCTGTCCAGCACCACAACTGCTGACAGTCAAAGTTAGTGACTGGCAGGTGGACATAGTGGAGCATTTGGCCACTAAAGAGACAGATATTTGTTATTGCAATATCAATGTAATGTAAACAATGCAACAATAAGTTTATGTCATTAAGTGTGAAGCCCCTCAGGACAGACCTTTTTCACAGCAGACACTGTGACATGTGACAGCAGGAAAAGCACAGGTGGAATTAGTGACATTAACAAAGGCTCTGTTCCATTAAGTGTCCCAGTGAGGCACAACACCAGGACCTCTCCTAAGTGGAAAGCAGACGTCATTGATTCATGTTATTCATTACATCTGTGCTTTCCCTGCTATGATATATCACAATGTCTGCTATGAAATAGGTCTATCAAAAGGTTTATATTTATCACACACTATATGGCAGCAGTGTTTATTCGAAAACATTTTTTTGTGTATGTGTACATGTGTGAGTGTGTGGTTTTAACCTGCCACTGTATTTGTTAGATCACAGGACATGAGGATGCCATGTACGAGGCAAAAGTGACTGTGACGACCAAGGGACGTAAGAACGATCTGCCCGTCAAGAGCGGTGACATGATCAGCATCATTCGAACTACCAACTGTCCCAAAGGAAAATGGCTGGCCAAGGACAGCAGCAACAACTGTGAGTTTAAATAAAAGAGTAAAAGCATGCATAAAGAAGGAGGAAGCAACTATATCTTTGCAAGAGGGACGGACATCTTAGTAACTTGCTGCAGTCGTTGATTGTGAACTGCACCACTGATTCTGTGAGTTTGTTCCAGATGGGTATGTTGCAGTGGATCATGTGGAGCTGGACATCAAGGAGATGTTGGAGCTGGGAAAGAAGGCTGCAATCACCCACAAGAGCAGCAGCAATGTAACTGAGCCAGAGGTTACCAGCACGGGCAGCAGGTATGTGTGCACAGTGGGTGACATATACAGACAATACAATGGAAAACCAAAATATGCAACCACTCAGTCATTGTGTATTACACTGTTAAGTTAAGAGTTGATTTATAGCTTTTTGGTTTCTTTTTCTTAGGGCCTCAAACCACTATCCACTATCAGCAGAAAGTTGTAAGTATCTTCCTGTTCTTACTTATACTAACAGGATATAGTTAAGTTATTCTGCAGCAGATTGATGTTGATGTTGACATGTTCAGTCTCAGATGACAGTGAGGAATGGACCGGTGATGATGATGAAACTCTCTCCCCTCCCCCTGAAACTGCAGATCCACTGGCTCCAATGTAAGTCCATCTTATCCTGAATCTTCATGATTGAATTGTTTATTTTTGATGTATACTACATTTTGCCTTGTCTTGTTATTGTCTTTGTCTCTGCAGGGGCCACACCAGGACACTCTCAATGCCAGACATGGGTAAGGAAATGGAAATAAGACTTCTGTATTAACACTACTTCAACTCTGTGGCTTTGTGGCACAAAAACTGATCGCTTTTTACCCAACTTATTGCCTGAAACTCATTGTTGTCATTTTATTATCAGCTAGTTATATACCACACAAAAAGTGTATTTGTAGTGTTGTATCTCTCCTCCATGTGTTATCTCTATGGGGGCAGATACAATAGACAAGAGATACTACAAACATCTAGAATTTTTGTGTCATATATATGTCAGCTAAGTTGATAATTGTCTCACAGTATCTTTTAACCAGTGTGTATCTGCAGATGGGTTTTAAAGGCAGTACAAAAGTGTCATCATCTGTGATTCTGTGCCTGTGAGCTGAGAGCATTGTGCAGTCCTTACACATTTATACTGTAAATAACATCACATTAGGGTCCAGTGTGTAGTGTGGCGGTTGTTCCTCTTCTATGGAGGTTGCCATGTTGTACCATTATGTTTCTGCAGTAACCCAGATCGGACAAGCCAAACACTGACTGAAGTTTCAGTGTATTCAGTTGATTGCAATCTGCTACTTCACTATGCTATGTCACTACAACTTACTAACTGTTCATGTAATGACTTGATGAACTTCAGCCTTGTTTGCATACTTTAAATACTGAAGCACAGACATCTGACTCATTAGGTGAACAGGTTTGTGTAACTTGAAGACTTAACTATTATAGAGTGTAATGGCGAGTCCAAGGTTTAACAGTGACTTGGTGTCATTATGGTCTAATTAATTTTGTAGATGTTATGTTAAGTGTATTATATTCATCAGTTTGTTTGTTTTTCTTAAGGTAACAAAAACCTCAGTGTAAACCACCAGCACAGTCGCAGTGAAACCAGCTCAGATGGCTCCCAGTGAGTTCACCAGCTTCATTCTTAAAGCCGATCACACACACACATATACACATAAGCAGAGTGTGGATATACAGTATATGTGTTTTTCTCTTTTTATATCAGAGCAAAACATGAAGCACTTCAGAAGTTGGCCACATTTTTCCATTCACCCAAACCTGCTGAGCCAGCTGCCAGGTAGGCACGATGACCAAACCTGCTACATACAGTATACACACACTCACACATAGACACACAAATGGGGTTTTAACTTTAGCTTTTCCTTCTTTTTTACAGCAGCACTGAACCAGAACCAGAAACAAGTGAGTGATGCCTGAAAAAAAAGAAAAACCATAGACGTGTTGAATGGAAATAGACAGTATATGTACAATATATAACAACCATATGCGGTTATATAAATTATGTATGTCTAATGATGTGCAACATTATCATTCCATTTTATTAAGTTTATTGTGAATACTTTTTTTTAACTTAATTACTTAATAGACCGATCATTGAAGAATCTATTTATCTATCCACCCTCTTTCCAAAGCAATTGATGTGTTTGATGAATGGATTTTGTTTCTATCTCAGGCCCTGTGCTTGTGAAGGAAGAAGCAGTTCACCTGTGAGTAAAAAAAACAAAACAAACACACGCATATACACACACAGACAGAAAGAAAAATGCTAAACATGTTGTGCAACTTGTAGACAGACACCTTTACTTCCTTTTTGCCTGGAATGGCTCGCTGAGCTTGAAAAGTGTTTTATACTTTTTGTGTCTGAGAGAAAGAGAGATGGATGAGAAATCCACTCATTCTCCAACCAGTAAGTTAAATTGGTTTGTTTCCTGGAAGGTGAATGAGCAGGTGCTTTTCACATTTGTTAGTGGTGTCATATTAATGGTCAAAATTAAGTCACTCTCCTTTGTACAGTAGGCAACATGGCAGTGTCTGCACACTGTACATGCGTTTCTGGGAGAGGAAAGATTGAGTTATTTACAAATCTGTGTTTCCACAGGCCTGCAGCTGTTTCCACACAGGAAATGGATTTTGATCAAACTAATATCCTCATTTTACCTCCTCCTCCTCTGTATGCGGACTTGACTGTTGAGTAACAACCCTAAAACAAGGTGAGAATCAATCGCTTGGACTCTTCACTGCACATCACTATGCACTTCCCATACTGATACTATGTTGTTTTTGTTACAGCAGAACAAATATCAACCAGGCAGAGGAAACAGGATTTGTCTATGGTGCTGCATCAGTTACCTAATACTGTGACAGTAACTTCATCTTCTTGACTATGACCTTATTTACCCGTTGACTGCATTTATGGATCAGTACGATGATTTACAAGAGGAACAAGATGAGGGGATTTCTTGACAAGCGATCTCTTTGTGCGCTTTCTCCGAAGCATTTGGTGTGAAACCAGTGGGGGACAGTTTGCCCGGTGGCTATGAGGGACTTTGAACCTTGGACCAAGGTGATCTGCTGATCCCAGGAAAGGACTTACAAACTGCCTCAGACACACACACAGGCTTTCTGGGTACAGTGACTCTGGAGACACTTGTAGGGAAAGTTACACACCTCATGTGCATTTACTAGAAAGACAAATCTATTAAAAGTGGTGGAAATATGGGGAGGACGATGGAAATGCAGAGCAAGGTATTTGTCAGGTTCAGACACCATTCTGAGGAAAAACAAAGCAAACATGACAAACAGGGAGAATTGTTTACTTAACATTTTAATCTATGTTTCCAGTAATTAATAGATTTTTTCCTGCCGAATTGTTCCTCAGGCTCAACCACGTATCCACAATCCTGGGAGAGAGCACAGTTCAAAGCACCCAACAAGTTAACAGTGTGTGAATATTTATCTTAAGTCTACTTACAGCAGTTTCAGGGGCTGTTGACATTCATGACCTACACACTTGTTGCCAGTTTACAGTGTTGGTAGCAAAGGAGTAAATAGCATTCTAGCTGATAAACTTACAAATGAACAAAGACTTATAGGTTTAATCATCAGCAATAACTAAAAGGCATTTTAGCTGGCTGTACCCAATGAGATCCATAACATGATACATGTACATCTATGACATTAAGACCACCTTCAGCAGTCACCTGATATTAGTCAGTTTTTTCCAAGTGTTTGTATTATTGAGCTGTTTTTGTACATTAGCATCTTTTTCTTTTATTTAGCCTCGTTTTGTAAAAGATCATTATAGATTGTTAAAGTGCTTATATTAGGTTAATATTATAATTATTTTACCAATAAACAACATGGAGTGTAATCTAAAATATACAAGTAAAGATTTCTACTCGTACCAGTTGCTGTGTATTGGTCATTGTTGCATTTTCTGGAGGGAATCAGCATCCGTAAACTTTAATTTCTTTCTTTCATTTTTATGTAGCGGATGTCTGGCAGATGTCACTTTCATGTGCCACTTTTCTTTTTAAACTTTCCCTCAAGCTGATGAATAATAAGTATTACAGAAAGAGAAAGTAGTGTGATGATCACCTAAGGTTATTTTCATGTAAAATATTGTTGTTGACATCTAAGGGTGCATTTTTGTCTGGAAAAAACACAAAAATAATCCTCTGTGATGAGTGTGTCTGTATTTGTGTGTTTGTGTGTGTTTAAAATTGACAAAGCCTTTAGGACAAAAACATTTTCCTTTTATATGTTTGTTTATTGTTTTTCAATAAATACTCATTAAAGTGCAAATCATAACAGCAATATCATGCAGTGCATATCAATAGAAATCCAAACCCCAATCAGACATAGAGACAGGGATAGACAGTTGAAACACACTGTCACATTCACACACGCAGAAACACACCCATATACACATTCTTTCCCAATAACCAGTGTGCACACAAACATACGACATACACTGGGTGTTTAAGGTTAGACTAATCATAAGAACCCCACCACAGATGCACGGAGAGCACAGCTTTGCTGTTGAAAATACTCACTTTGGTACAACACGGAAATTCTGTATTTGATCAAGCCCTCTGGCATGTGTTTCCCAGCTCTAAACACAGATTAGAGTTTACATGACTAACATGCCACTGGTGGTTGCATACAGTTGTAATGGTACAGTACTACATCTGACAGTAAATACTGGTTATATGGTGAGCTTTTAATGACCATGACCTCTGCAACATAGCGACTTCATTGATCAGTAGTTTATATTCAAAGTAGCTCACTGTACAGAGGACAAGTCATTTAAGACACAGCAATAGAGTGTAATATAGAGGGTTGACTGAAGAACATGAATTATTGTTTACAAAGCTGTGTGCGCAGTTGCATGTGTGTTGCAGCAGGGAGCAGAGTTTCTCCCTGACATCAGAGTGTATTCAGTGGTATATGTGCCGTTGCAGACAGGAAAGGCAGCCGTACACAGGACATAAAAACAGAACACATGTAATAAAGGGTTTCAGCAGAGTAATAAAGAAGATGGCTTTCACTGTTTAAACGCAAAGCTCTCATAAGGCAAAGATTACTGAATCCCTTTCTTTTACAACCGTGTACAGTAACAAACTCAAACCTCAGTCTGTATCAGATTATTGTAGGTCCAACAAAGTTAGCAACAGTGTTCTTATCTGGGTGTCTGTAAACCTCCAACATGGCCAAATTCTCCCCATTATTATGAAATGCTATCTCATCACTCCTATTTTGTACTAACCTGATAAAATTATATTTTTACATTGTACAGTTTTATCACTAATCTGCCTCTTGGCCCAAGCCTGTGACAATAATGACAATTAAATTATAATAATAATGAGAACATTGACCATTTTGGAGTTTCTGACACCAGCCTAAAGTAGAGTACGTACTACCCGTCCAACCAATGTGTTTGACTGCTAACAGTAGAAAGGCAACAGTCCAGTGCTCTCTATCCAAACAACAACACTGCTTTAAAACTAAGAGAAAGAAAACAGAGAAAAAGACAGACGGAAGGATTTATCTGAGCAGCACAGGCTTTCACTTTACATTCGGTCAGAAAAGATTTAGACAAAATATTGTATGACAACAGCGACACACAACCCTGCTATGGTACGATCTGACAGGACGATGCAGAACATTTATAATAGTACAGTAAAGTTTGCGTATCCCCGCAATAAAAACAGCAAACGGAGGCTAAACAGAAGATACACACACAGACAACAGCTCCAAAACACAGAAGCATCATGTTTTTGACCCTTGTCTCTACCAGTCTCTCAAACCACTACAGAGATCCTTCTCACAAATCAGCTTTGTCAGTGAGAAAACATGACAGTCATGTGACACACTCTCCACTCATCTGATCTCCATTACACACACTGGCTCATGCACACACTCTCCATAAACATATGCACAGAATTACTGTGCTGCACTCTTTAAGGCAACTGGAGAAAGGTTCCTGTGGCTTATTCTGTCCTGCAGCAGATACACACCAACTCACATGAGTCATTTTTGTTTACTCCTTGATTATCGTCAACACTTCTTAATTCGTTCACCTACAGGATGGACACAGGGCCTATTACATTTATTGCGGCTAATATGATTAGTAGCCATTTTAATTTAATTCATTAAGTGAAGATTTGCTTGTTTTTGTTCTCTAAATAAAAGTATAAATATTTAAGTGTAATTTACTGTTGGTCAGAGAAAACTAGGGTCTGATTTCAGATTAACCTTTGCCACGTTTTCATGGATTTCAGACACTGAAGTGTAAATGAGTCTATGTGTGTTGCATATTTATGATAGATACAATGACGGTTGTGTGGATAAAAAAAATAGAAAAGATACGTATGGTATGCATAGTATCTTTGAAATACATCAGATAAAATGGTGATTGTGAAAACTTGTGAGGCGGTGTGTATCTGTGCTTCGACACTAAATGCAGGACACAGTACCATGCAGAGTATTGTCGTCCTACTATCCTGCTGTCTCTTTAGGTTCATTAATCTTCTACACTCTATTCAAAATCAGAATAAAACTCTATGTTGATGCAGTGCTTAAATAATATAACTACAGTATCTAAAAAATCTCTCAAAAATAAATATGGATCTGATATCTAAATAATAATAATCTTCTTTATGGTGTATAAAGTCTGTTATTTGGTATACCTTTGTCAAACTTTTCAGCTAAGTAATACGACTGTATTACGATATAACAATTTAACGATTGTAATACAAATATAATATACATGGATAACAAAAGCTGCTTCTTTACAAACCATATAATATAAAACCTGAAATCAAATTTGACATGTGTTAATGTTCCCTCAGACACAGATTTAACGTCAATTTAAAGTGCCTTAATCAAAATATGAGACAAGAAGCAAAACTGACCTCCGATAAGTGTCTGGAGAAAACAGGATTTCCCACCATTAAGTGTTATGGTGGATGACATTTCAGCAGTTGATAATAGATTGAAGGTATTTGTGGGAGGAGTGACAGTGAACTTGACCTTTGCTGGCCTCTACTAGTTCACAGATTCCAGTCCCAGGATCCATTTTCACAGGCTTTCACCTGGTGTCTAAGCTGCATGACTAACTCAAGGACTGTGTCAAAATAAGGGGGAAAAAAGCTATTAATCTGCTTTCCTGAAAAAGGCTTCCTCTCTATGTCTCCTTAATCTGAAGTGACAGGCATTGCTTTGACATTTTCATGCCCCTTTCCAGTGCAATACAACTGGAACAGAGATAAAGAAGAGACAGAGAGAGGAAGACACGCCAAAAATGTACACACCCTACATCCTGGATCAGCAACTGGCTCAAAAACCCCACTTACATTCAGGTTACAGGTCTGTGAGGGTTAGGAGTCGACAGGTCTCAGCGTGCCAGTGTGGTGATCAGACTGGCACACATTTCAAAGAAGTCCATGGTGTGTGATCCCTGACGTGGGGTGAGTAGAGGGGAGCTACCAGACAGGGACCCTGGGAGAGAGGAGCTGAGCTGGGGCAGATCAATCGCAGGGCTTGCCGAATCAATGCTCAGTCTGGGTCTGTGGAGACCAGCTGTGGAACCTGACCTCTGAGGAGTGGACGAACCCGATTTAAAGCCTACAGCCTCGATGATGTCATCTGGGGGGGGTCACATGAACGGAAGACAGTAGCATCAGCATTCAACAGAGTAGTAGTTCATGAAGTTAATCTGTTTTATATGAAACTAAACAAGCATGAAAGAGCTTAATGTAACTGATGAAAATGCCATACTAAAAGGTAGTCGTCTGCATAGGCTGGAATGCAAGTATCATTTTATGCTAAAACAAGTACCAAAAGCCACCTGATCTACATAAACACCACCTCAGCTGTTCCAACTCCACCAACTCAGCAAAAGCAGATTTTAGAACCACAAAGCTGGGGGGGTAAATTGAATTGCAGAGTACTGGCTCTCATTAGTTTCAGCACCTGCACTGAGGTAGAGCTATACACATTGTACAATAACACATTGGAAAATTATGTGAATTTGTTTAGCAGTGGTGCATGTATGACAAATTGTTCAGAATCAGTTTTGTCTATCACTAACCATCGATGCTCTTGAAGTCAAGGAGGTAGGATCTGTTGTCCACCTGGTACAGCTGCAGGCTCATTTTCACCAGGTTTCCCGTCACTGGATTCTTCCTCCGCACTCGCAGATGGTACGGGTTCACCACCTACAACACAAAATAACAATCAAGTTCTTATATACTGTAGACCTATGTATGTATCTGTGCATGTGTAGGACATATCCTTCCAGTGCTTACCTTCCAGTCAAAGCTGAGTTGTCTCATAGCCCTGTACACTTCAGCCATTATATCATAGGGTCTGCTCTGACTCCTGATGCCAAGGTGCCACTTGGCCTTCTTCACTGCTAGGGGTTTGGGCCGAGTGGTGTTGAGAGCATCCAGAGGACAACGAGACTTGGGGCTGTCAGCCAGGAGCGGAGGCATCCTCTCAGGGTGGGGTTTGACCCCGGGGGGCAGCGGCATGCCCTCTTCTATGAAGGAGCCCTGGGGAGGACTGGAGGCCAAGTAGAACTCGCTGGCCTGGGTCATGATGCGCCGGTTATCTATTATAAGGTGATAGGCTACTGCTAGCTGATCCTGGATGCAGAGGATGGAAAAGTCACTTGAATACTAAGGAGATAAGTCACTGAAGCTAACAACTATGATATAAGTCTATTGGCTATTGTTGGTAGCATGACGGAAAATAGCCACAAAAGCAGAACGGACCAGGATAGCAGCAACTAAAGAACCTCCAATTTTGTCAACAAACTCTACTAAAACAATGTCACATTGCTGCCAAATGATTTTCTAAAAAAATGATGTAAATATATAAAAACCTACATATTATATTAATATTAAAATTTTACTAAACAAAAAAGTAAACACTATATCCATTCTACTACTACTTAAAGAATTGTGAAAGTGCCTGTACCTGTGGATCCCCGCTGTAAAGGCTGGACACAACCTCGGATTCAGTGCATTCAAATTTCTCACACACTTCCCTGACAGCCTCCTCATCCAGGACTGTAGCATCGTACGAGGGGTCCTCAGGGAACAGGTAGCCTGGCAGGTCCTGCTTAAACCACTCATGTTCCCTGAGAAAGGAAATAATCAACTCAAACTATTGTCAAGTTATCACTCTTAAATATAAATCCAAACCTAATGGTAATTCAGGTTGGTGAATCATCTCTAAATGTCACAGTATGTGACATTTAAACTTGCATGAAGTCTTACTGTTGTCAAAAACAGTAGTCTGTTTGTGTAATGACACTTCAGATGGGGGACTATTAAAGTTCCAGGGCCAGCAAGAGGAGACACACTACTGTATGTATGTTAACTTACATTTCATTTCATCTGACAACTGTAACAAAGATTTTGAAACCAATCATCTGACTACTGAGTATTGAGAACAGTGAATAAAGCCATAAAATCTGACTGGTTCAGACAGTAATCCTCAGCACAGTACAGTAATGATTTCACATGCATGGCAAGATCAAGAAGAATTTGAACACAAAGAAGCTGAAGCAGGGCCTATGTTAGTGCCACTTGACCTAGCAGAGTAGGGTGAGCACCTGATGTCTTTGATAGTGGCTCTCTTCAGAGGGTCCACCTGCAGCATGAGCATGAGCAGCGAGGCCACAGAACGAGTCAGGTACTCTGGGATGTAAAAGACGCCTCCTCTGATCTTCTTAAACAGCGTGGGGACGTGCTCATCATCAAAGGGCAGAGTGCCGCACAGCAGCGCGTACAGGATCACCCCACAGCTCCAGATGTCCACCTCTGGACCTGCATAAAGCCTGACATAGTAAAGAGACGTTGTGACATGCAACAAACAAAAAGATCCATACACAATGTGTCACACAAAGTCCCCTGGAAAAGCAAGTAGCACTTTTCTAACTTTTAACTGCCATTATATAACTTTAATACATAAACATTTCATTGTTTATAATAACACCCTATAAATGTAAGTGTGATTGTAAGCAACCCTATTGGGTTATTAATCTGTTTGTCGACAACTATTAATCCTCCAATGAAGCATCCGTAACTGTGGTTTAGATAATTGGATGGATGCTTCATGGTTGTATTCATATAACATAACTTCAGTACTTTCAAACTCATTGACAATCAGTAATTGCCTATATAGTGCTTATAAATGCTTGTGCGAATCGTGCATGTGCATTAAGACACAAACACGCCAGCATACACATTCGTTCCAGTGGTTGCAATAAAGCAATGCACAAGCAATTGTGGATGTAAACAATGCACATGTTTTATGCGGAAAGGACCTGCATTCAGCATGTTTGTTAGACCTCAAGGATACACATAGTACGGTGACTGAACATAACATGCTTGTTTACAAGAAAACTCCCCAGGGCACCTTTATTGGTTGTTCCAAAACATTTTTTTCTCCAAAGCATATAAATAATGGTGATTAAATAATTGTCCTCTAGACATAAATAATTGTGATCATCATTGTAGCCACACACACACCTTCCTGATATGACCTCTGGAGCAGCATAGTTGGGTGAGCCACAGCTTGTCCGTAGGAACTCCCCATCTGACATCATGTTTGACAGACCTGTTGGCCAAACAAAAGACATTTCAACACCCTTCAGCTTTTCCTCTTGACAGTAAAAATCCTCTATTATCATTGTTGCTATTGATTCTTTGATGCACACAGGTTAAATTAAATATGGCTCAGCACAGGGAGGTGTTTGGTATACACTGTGGACACCGCTTATATCTTTATCCTCCTTTACCCTCCAACACTCTAAGCTTTGAACACAAAGCTCATCTAATTGGATGAGCCTCTCTCCGCCTGCCAGGGCCCCAGCCAAAAGCTGAACACCAGACGCTCTGTGATGTACTGACCTTCTCTTTATCTTTTATTCCTGTTCCCTTAACACTCCCTCTCGCTGCTCAGCAGTGTCTGTTGCTTTCAGCCAAAACACTTCTCCTGCTGTACACCCCTGCCGCACCCCAACGATTCCCTCCCTATCAGATGACACTGGGCCTCAAGGCTTCCTGCCAGACATGATATGAGACCTGGCCGTTGCTAGGGGACCTATCTCCGCCCCACACACCCTGCTGCGCATAAGGGCCTTCATGTGTTTTTGAAAATATTTCTCTCTTCCATGGTTGTATTGCATCAGGCACAGTCTGTTAACCAATCAGCTGGAACAATTATGCCATGGCTGATAAGAAACTGTGTTCAGTGAGATCATTTAATAATGAGGTTAACAGGTGCATGATGATTTCACACTTTCTATAAGTGTATAATTGAGTGTATAATTACACTTTGTTCTATAAGTCTGCAATAAACTTTCACCTGCCTCTAATCAAATTTTCCAATTACTTGGTAATTCCACTCAGCTCTGCCACAAACTCTGGCTCTTTGCCTTTTTTATTTCCCTATGAACATATTCTGTTTTGTTTTCTCTCCCTAAACCCCTACCAATTCTTCTGCCAGGCCAATCCTTTTGTCTCTCCCTCTAACTGTAACTGTTCTTTTGGGAATCCTACCGAAGTCGGCTATCTTGGCGTTCTTGCTGGCATCCAGCAGGACATTCTCAGGTTTGAGGTCTCTGTGGACCACCATGTGCCTGTGGCAGTAGTCTACAGCTGAGATAATCTGCTGGAAAAGACGACGAGCCTCTGTATCTTCCACCTGAAAGACACAATATAAATGGACATGACTGGACTGTGGCCGTGTATATGAGCATGTGTCTGATTTAACAGTGTGTCACTGTATGAATGTTAGACAGTGTTACAAAACAAGCTCAGGAACAGGCCTATAGCGCATGTGTGTAAACAACAGTGAAGGTTATGTGGTGTCTTGTTTATAACAAATTTATCATATTCAGAGTTGGTCATAAGGTTGCTATGGCTGTGGGCCCAGATAAAGTTCAGGTAGGATAATTCTATTAAAATTTAAGAGAGTCTCCAGAAGAGGTCCTCTCCATATAGCTGTCATTATCTATATATTATTGAAAGTCTGTGTGGGTGGGTGGGATGCCATGCTTCACCCAAAGATTTAAATCTTAAAAACTGGAAGTGAACATTTAAAGGTAAGTAAAGCTGACGTTAAAATAGTCATTGACAGCTCTTAGCATGGTGGAGCAGAAATTGGAACTCTAAATTATATCACTTGTAAGTTTACAACAAAAGTTAAAGGAGGAAAAATTAAATATGTTGGTGCAACATATATATAAGTGATGGGGACAATTGCAGTAGAGTGCATAAAGACAGTATTTTGATATTAGAAAGGAAAATAAATAAAAGAAATTGTGCTCAAACAATGTATTAATGTAACAAATGTATCTTAAATAAAATTATTATAGGGTAAAAAATACAAATAATTGCGTGTAGCAGTATTTTCTGACACCTTAAGTCAAGGAAACACTTCAGAGTCTTACTTGGGCACCACAACAAGAATTCAATAAATAATTCAATTAATAAATTGAATCCCTTAATTGGTGTTTAATGAAAGGTGCTAATACATACTACACACTACCTCAGCCACTGCTACACAACTCCCTTCCTTTTTATCCAATTTGAGCTATGGTTACTAGTGAACTAATCATTTCGGATGATGCAGTAGCCACTTGAACCCGATTAACAGATTAAATGTCTTACCCGTCCATGTTTGCAGATGTAGTCAAACAGCTCACCTCCTGACACATACTCCATGACCATGAAGAAATCTGTGGGTGTACTTATCACCTGGTACCTACAACACAAACGTGTGTTGATACGAAGTCACTGTACATTACTTAACACTTCAGCCTCTTTTACCTCATACCCATACATATAAATAGAGCGAGTACAAACATACCAATATTAGGTTTTTGTGTAATATCCAAACCAAATTTATTTACGTCAAAACATGCACAGAATAAATCCACAGAGAGGTAAGGCTGAGCTGTGATGTATGGCTGCTGAGTGTAGGACATTATTTTCATAAAGGTCAGGCATATTAAAATGCAGGCCCAATCTCATGAATGGTTGCTCCTGGGAAATTCTGCACTTCATCACAATCTAGTGCATTCCTGTCGAGCCGGGTGTAGCACAACACGACTGGCACCATGGGAGAAATAAACACAAACCAAATCACAATTTCTTACTTTTCTGTTTTACACACACACACATTCTAGGCTTTGTGCTGGTTTCACAAACAGGGTCAATATATCACAGAATCTGCTTTGCTCAG